ATCGGGAGGGGGGGCCGGCTGAGGGTATTTGGGCGCGGGTGTTTGCGGGCTCGGGGCGTGGGTGGCGCCACGACGGTGCCGCGAGGCTGAGCAGCGTTTGATGGATACGCAAGGGGACGAAGCATCTGGTGCATGCGCTCCCTGCCTGGTGGCTCGATCGATGCGCGAGACTCCGGGCAGTCGCAGCACGAGCAATGCAGCGGCCTGCACGGCTGCGCATTGCAGTGGCAGACACGCCGCCTATTGGCAGCAGGGAGCGCCATACGTATCATAAAAATCCTTCACATAATGATTATGGTGCCATGGCACGCTCATTGCGTGGGCTCCTCCGCAACGCTCGCGGTGAGTGAAGCCCGGCGATCTCCAAGCGCAGTAGACCGTTGACATCTCACCTCCACAATATGGCGGATGTCCTTATCAGCCGGCACGTAGAAGCTCCTCACAAGCGGGGCCATATCGAAGCAGGATTCTGTATTGCAACAGCGGGTACGTACAAGTATATCCGTGGTGAACCAGAGCAGTGGTTTGATTGAGCAGGGGAAGCCTCACAAGGTGGGAGCCAAGCCGTGCCAGCCGTCCATGTCCCCTCAGCATGAGCAGAATCACAGCACTCAACTGCTGTACAGCAACGCAATCCAGCAATGCAGCGGACACAATTCAAAGTCGTGGGATCAAACGCCTTGTGCATACTGAGATGGTTGTGGATTGCCCAGTTGGTGGGTCGATAGGGCAGTCGCCTGCGCCGCCCATCTGGCCTGCCATCCCTGACAAGTGCAGCACAAGGGCCCCGCACGGGCACCGCACGCCGCCACGTGCATTCGCCCGCTCTTTTGAACCAAAGAGGATGTGATCCCCCTCTCTGCCCGCAATGGCGTGTGCTGCCGCAGGCAAACCACTGCAGTTTAGAGCTGCGGTTCGGGCGAGGGGGGGTGGTTGCGGGGGGCGGTTGGTAGCGTGTGTTCTGCCCTTGATTGCCCTCATCAGTGTGCAACTCCACACAGCATTCGCACCAAGAGCAACAGAGTTGCACCGTCGCAACAAACACGCCCCGCCATGCTTGCTTTGAGACCATTGCAGTACTGTACTTGCATTTACCGCGCTCCTTGCTTTAATTCCAACCTCAGAACCTTGACACACGCGAGCGCTCCGCGAGAAGAGGGCAGACCAAAACTGCCGGAGTCCACGTCGTCATGCAGAGGCATGGAGCTAATCCCTGCCATCAGGCACGCCAGTGATACACAGCACCGCGCCCATGGGCTTGCAATGGCCAACTTGTGCGGGGCTTGCTGCTTTTACCCGAGCAGAGCAAGCACCGGCAAGCGATTAGGCGCATCGGTGCGGAGCTAGGAACGTGTGATCATCATCACGTGTGTGCATACAGCCATCCAAGGCTGTCCCAGCATGCTGGTTATGAGTTTTTCTTGCCTGCGCATGCACAGGATGCATGCTTCAGAGCGCTTGTGACGCCACTTCCGACACATCCTACGTGTGCCGCTTGGAGAGACTCCGCCAGTGGGTGCAAGCCGGCCAGCAGTCAAGCGAACACCGCAACCCGAGCATCGGAAATCAGTCAGTGTGGCGGTACTAGGAGGGCGTTGATTTATTGATTGACGAGGGGTAGGACAAACGGGTGCGGGTCGATCACCACCGTGGTCATCAGTGTTCAAGCATACACGTGCATGTACATCATCGTTCTGGAAGGGATCGAGCATAAGCAGGAGCGTGTGTCAGCAGGGCGCAGCCCAGTGCCGCATAATGCGGAAATTGTCGATGAAACAGATAGTGTGCGTCCACGAGGTCGCCAGAAGGGTCTGTGAGTCCCCCTTGCAGCTCCTGGGCATGCATTCACCAACGGTCAGCGTGCCTGCCTTCTCCCAGCAGTAACCAGCTAATGGCGCCCTAGCAGTACATCGTGCAATGTTGCCATGTATTCTTTAAAATCGCCCCTTCCGGTCGTGGGATGGGCCACCGAACAGCTTGGGCCTGGCACTGCTAGCACAAGCAGTGCAGTAGTCGTGACCACACCGCCAGCGCGTCCGTCACTCCGCTCCCGTGAACACCAACAGCTGCATTGCTTCCTGTTCAGCACTGAGATTGGGCGCATAGTGCGCTGAGCAATTGTTTCAAGACAGGGCAGCGCTGTACAAGCGCCATTGCCGATCGCCCTTGTAGCGAGTTCTGGATCCGGCCATCTCGTACAGCCTAGGCCAGTGCAAAACTTGACTCTGTTGTTTCAAATAATCAACCAGCAGAATGTCTGACGCCGACAGCCTGCCTCCGCTGGAAGGGGCCTCCTCAGACGAGGACAACGCTCTTGCTGAGGATGTACCCAGTGTAGAAGGTGAGTTGACACGTGTGGAGCACTTCCTGCGAATCGTACCTCCTGGGCGGTCGCAAAGCACGCAGCGACACATGTGCGCGTGGTGCATGCTCTGCATGCAGCATGAGCAACCGCAGCAGTAACGGCGCCATGTACGCATGCACGCCACCCCCGTGCGGCTGTATTGGCACCGGATACCGATGGCGCAAGCACCGTGCTGAACAATATACCTCGGAAGCTGATGCCTGGGCTGGCCACGAGGCGCTGGGCAGCAGGCCCGTCGATCTCCTTTCCCGCACCCTCGGGACCACCTCTGCCCGCACCTTCGCTCGCTCACACCACGCCAGGTGCTGCGGCCGCCAGCGGGGCCAACGGTGCTGCACCCACGGGAGGGGGTGCGCGCGCCGCCACAGCCCACTTTGGCGTGGCACCTGAGAGCGACGCGGGGGCCGTGAACAGGGCGCCAGGCGGCGGCAGCGGCAGCGGCAGCGGCGGCGCCGGCGCCGGCGCCGGCGGCAGGCCTAGCGGCAGCGCTAGCAGCCAGGACCCGCTCCTGCAGCGGCCTTGCCCCATCTGGCGCGTTCCAGAGGGCGCCGACGGCGCCTCTGCGGCGCCCGATCCCGACTCTCTGCCAGACCCCTCCCCGAACCGCCTCGGGCGGCCGCCATGGGTGCTGCCGGGCGGCGGCGTGCCGCTGATGTTTGGCGGCGCAGGCGCGCCGGCGGGCGGCGCGGTGACTTTCCAGCTGCCGCAGTCACTCGCAGACGCCCTGGGTGAGCCGAGCCTCGCACACCCCGCTCCTTTGAGGGATTAGAAATGGGGCACCCCCCCTTGTGGCGGCGTTCAGGGGTACTTTGCATCATTGATAGGGTGACGCGATCACCCAGGACTCGCAGATTTGGTGTTTGCAAGACTCTTGTTTCATCTCATAGCGCCGCCTTCCAAACTTTGCTAGCCCCGCCCCCGAGAGGCGGTCGTCTCCACCCACACCCGACAAGCGCCCCTACCCAAGTCAACGCCCACCGACCACCGACCCCGCCCCGCAGGCGGCGCCATGCGCATCAACCTCGGCGCAGGGGTCAACTTGTCGATACAGATGACAGGCGTTGGGCCCAACGGCCTCCACCTGGGCGTCCCGGCCGGCATGGCCGGCACGGCTGGCGGCCAGGGCGGGCCGGGCGGAGGCGGCGGCGGGGCCGCCAACTTGCCAGAGCAGCCACTGTTCATGGCGCCCGCGCAGCGCGGCCCCGGCGGCGTCGTGAGGCCGCCGCCGGCCGCGGCGTTCGGCGCGGGCAGCACGCAAGGGGCGCAGGTGGAGTGGGGCGAGTTGGGCAGGCTTTTTGAGCAAATGCTGGCCACTGAGCCAGCACTCGGCGGCCAGCCGGGCGCAGCGGGGCAGGGGCCGTCGCAGCAGGCGGCGCAGCAGGCGCACAGCCTCCGGGAGCAGCAGGCGGCGCGGCGCGTTCTGGAGCAAGAGGCCGCGCTGCAGGCGCAGGAGCGCGCGGCGGCGGCGCGGCGGGCGGCGCGGCGGCACGGGCGGGCGTCGAGGCAGCTGGCGGAGGCGCGGCGCGAGCTGGAGGGTCTCTTGCTGGACGGGGCCCAACCAGGAGGCCGGCAGGGCCACGGCGCCGCGCCTGCGTCGGCGACGCCGGCCAGGGCTAGCGCTGCAGCAGCAGCGGATCCTGTTGCAGGCGCCGGCGGCGCGGGCGGCGGTGCGTCGGCGGCGGCGGCCGGCGCCGCGCGGCTGGCGCAGGCGCGGCGGCTGCCTAGCAGCTTCAACCCCTATCTGCTGGGCTTGGCGTGGGGGGCCAGCGAGGACGAGGGCGACGAGCAGCAGCAACAGCAGCAGCAGCAGCTGCAGCAGCAGCAGCAGCAGCTGCAGCAGCAGCAGCAGCACCAGCAGCAGCACCAGCACCAGCACCAGCAGCACCAGATTCAGCTCGCCGGCCCGGTCAGCCTGCAGGGTGCCAGTCCAGTGGCGGCACGTTCAGTTGAAACGGTGGTGGCTGCTCCCGAGGGCCTTCCGCCACCGCCGTCGGGCGCTGACGAAGACACACAAAGCAGCCGCCCCCCGCCCGCCAGCCGCCCTTCCAGCGACGACGAGGGTGACATGCCGCCGCTGGGCAGCAGCGAGAGCAGCGACGGTGGGCTGCCGCCGCTTGATGACGCGTCCGACAGCGACGACGGGCTCAGCGGCCTGCAGCTGGACAGTGACCCCGGGAGTGAGGTGTCGGATGGGCCCCCGCCGCTGGCGGAGTCTTCGGCGTCCGAAGATGCGGAGGGCGAGGACGGCAGCTTCTTCACGGAGGACGCTGACGAGGACCACGCGTCTGACGAGGACGAGGACGAGGATTACTACACCAATGACGGGGACGAGGACGGGAGCGAGGAGGAGGATGAGGAGGAGGATGAGGATGAGGAAGGGGAGTGGATGTACGATTCGGATGAGGAGCGCGCGGCAGCGGCGCCGCAGCAGGCGGCAGCACCCGCTGGCCTCTCCGGGCTGCACCAGCTTGTCGAGTCGCTGCAGGGCCAGCTGGCGGGGGCGGCGCGGGCGCCGGGGCTGCCCGGGCAGGTGGCGGTGCAGCACGTGCCCGGCGGCGTGGTGCTGCATTTTGGCATGCCGCTGGGCGCCGGCGGCGGCGCGGCTGCGGGGGGCACGCCGGCCGGGGCGGGCGCAGGCGCGCCCGCGGCGGCGTCGCCGGGGCGGCGTGTGCACCTGACGGCACGGCGCACGGGGGGCACGCGCGCCGCGGCCGCAGGGGTTGCGAGCGGCGCCGCGGCTCAGCAGGAGCAGGTGCTGCAGCTGCTGCGGATGCAGGTGCAGCAGCACGAGCAGCAGCAGCTCCAGCAGCAGCAGCAGCAGCAGCAGCAGCGGCGCGTCTCCCTGGACGATATGCCCCCCCTCGCGTCCGACGACAGCGCCGACGGCATGCCCGGCCTCCTTGCCACTGAGGAAGGGGACGACGACCCCTGGGGGCCGCCCCAGGGCCCCTCAGATCACCGTGGCGGCGGCAGCGACGACGACGAGGACGCGCCGGGCCTGATCGCGACGTCCGAGGGTGAGGACGGCGCCGCGGCGGCCTGGGGTCCCGGCGGCGGCGGGGGCGGCGGCGGCGGCGCTGAGGGCGGCGGCAGCCAGATGGACGTGTCGGAGGGGATGCCGGGACTAGGCAGCGGGCTGTCGTGGTCGGGGTCGGGCCAGGACGGGCACACGGATGAGGTGGAGGAGGACAAGGGGGACGAGGCGGGGCGTGAGGGGGACGGCGGCAGCGGGTGGGCCCGCGAGGAGCGCGAGCGCAAGCGGCGGCGGCAGGGCGCGGCGAGCGCGGATGGGGACGCGGGCGGCGACGGCGGCGGCGGCGGCGGCGGCGGCGACGACGGGGGCAGCAGCGGCAGCTGGGAGACGGCGGCGTCGGGCGAGGCGCGCGGGAGCGGCGGAGAGGGCGAGGCCGAGGCGCCGCCGGCGGCGCCGGCACCGACGCCGCCCAGGGCGGCGGGGGCGCGCGGCGGAGCCGCCGCCGCGGGGGCCTCCGGGCACCAACCTGCGGGCGGCGGCCTGAGGCTGCAGCGCGGGTTCCTGTTGCCGCACACCTCCGCCTCCTCCTCAGCCTCTACACCCAAGCCCCCACCCAAGCCCGCACCTGCGGCTGCGGCCGTCCCGCCTGCCGCGCCCGCAGGGCCGAAGGGCCTGCCCGCGCTCGCGCCGGCGCGCGCGCCGACGGTGCGCGAACTGAAGCGGCGGCGCGCCGCGCGCGTGCAGGGGCTGCTGAGGGACGGCGCGTACGTGAAGCAGCTGCTGCAGGGCATGGAGGGCGTGGACCCGAAGAGCGCAGTGGTCTGGCGCGTGGCGACGCTGCTGGGCGCGGGGCCGATCACGGGGCGGCCTGCGGTGGCGCTGCCGCCGGCGCTAGCGGCGCTCGACAATTATTGGGCGGAAACGGCGGATTGAGGGGAGGGGGTCGTTCCTGCCGGCGGCCCTGTTTGGCGTGGACGTGGGCGCTGTGGTGGGGCCCCGGCGCAAGCTGCGCAGTGGTAGGTGCACACATTTTGCTGTGGACAGACGTCGAGGCGGCGGCGCCACCCGATGGACTGGGTGGATTGAGGGGCGGCCCCCTTGATTGCAGTGAGTGGACGGGACGCCCTGGCGGGGCCCCGCCGCAAGCCGCACGATGGCGGGGGTTTGCGTTTGCTGG